TCATCTGATCTCTTACAGATTTTAATACTTTAAATCGTGTACTTGTTCAGTGTTCTTGCTTGTTGAAAAAGTTTGGAAAAAAGTCAAGAAAATAAATTCGGTGGTGGACAACCAAAGAAATGGCAGAAAGTTGTCTCTGTATTCTTATTTCCTCTGGAGCCAAAGAGCCTGATACAGAATTTGCAGCAAATAAATGACATCATGAATGATGATGTCATCGTGTTATTTAAGCCCATTGACTTTGTCCACGTTTTCCAGCTACAATTTGGGTAGCTTTGAGATGTTTTATCATTATAAAAGTTACAGCCAACTAAAGACCTTGATAAAAATGTTTAATTTAATTTATGATGTCATGATGAAGTCAAACAATTTTTTTATTGATTTTTGAATATTTAGTTTTTTGTACACATTTTTCAAGGGCCAGTGCTTGGCACTCTTGCCCATCTGATTGAATTATGTAACATTCATGAAATGTCAAGGTTTATACCGTTGTTGTGATATTTTCATAATTAAATTTTTTTAAATACTTTCTCAAAAATCCCAAAACAGCCTGCGGTTGTTTTGAAAACCATCAAACCTTTACATGTAGTTAGCCATTTCGGCAACTTGCCTAAACAGCTATTGTAATCGTCATCACCTTATTTTATGTTGATTTTTGAATATTTTATTTTTTCCATTGATTTTGTACACATTTTTCTACTTGACATTAGTAAAAGAATAGCCCTTTACTTCAGCTCACGATTACTATAATAACGAAAGAAAAATTAGTTACTTTACACTGTGTTATCTGAGGCATGTGACATGAGATTAAAGCTGCAGTCTTCTCCATAGGTTTTGTACATATTTTTCAACTTAAAAACTAAAGACTGACTAGTCCTCTCTTCGGCTCAAGATTACTATGAGAATGAAAGAGAAATCAAACTAACTTTTCCATTTCATTCAATTACACATATAACTAAGAGTTCTTCAGTTTGATCACAAATCACGTGACATGCACTTAAAGCAGCAGTTTGTTAGTTGTTTGGCAAGCCAGCCGAAACAGCTATTGCTTTTCTGATTATTTTTTTTTTGTAATCGTGAAAAAGTTTTTCTTTTTCCTTTTTTTCCCCTTTTTTCCTTTTTCCACTGTTTTTTCTACAAGGTGCTTATTTGGCAATTATTTTACGTCCGATCAATTTCAAACTTGGTATAGTAATTAACCATCATCAGAAGATGTGCCCCAAAACTTTTTGTAATCGTGACATCATCAGGGGTCACGTGACCTCAATTCAAATGTTCATTCTTCACAGTCTAATAACTAGTAAACTATTTGACAGATTTCACTCAAATTTGGTATGCACATAGTCTGGGACGTGTTATAGATGAAAATTGATATCTTGACCGCATGTGACCTCTACTTCCGGTTTGACCAGAACTTGTATTTTAACACACAAATTGTCATATCTCATGCACTATACATTCAATTGCAGTGATAATTGGTTTTTCGTTATACATGTCCCTTTGGCAATTATTTGTAATCCAATTCATTGCAAACTTATGATGCTCATTGACAGTCATCAAAAGACAATAAAAAACACTTTGGGAACAGCTATGTGTTTTCTTTTTTTCTTTTTTTTTTCAATTTTGCAAAAAAAGGCATTCTTTTTGTTTTGTTTTTTTCCTTCCTTCGTCTCTTTCTTCCTCTTCTGACCAAAAGCCCATTTGTTTTGTGCACATTTCTTCCACCATTGAATTTAGTCCTTTTGCAACTTCGGATCTTCATCAAACTTACATCAACGAAGGACCTCAGTTCAAAGATGTGCATAGAAGAATGACGTCATGATGATGTCATTAACTGATTTTTTAATGATTTTTAAATATTTATTTCAGCCGATTGAATTTGTACACATTTTCAAGGCCAAATTTTGGTAACTAAGCAATCTTCAATCGTCCTCAAAGTTACACAAAGGAAAGAATTGGAAGCAATGATAATACTAAAATAATTATGTCATGATGACATCAACAAGTGATTTATTATTAATTTCTGAATATTTAAATATTAGGTTAACGTAAAAATCCATATAAAATTAACCATGACTTCCTGCAGCATATACTCAGGACCTGGCAAAATGCCGAGCATGTGGTGCTGATCGCAGATCGCATTGTATGGAATGCCAAAAGGGATAAATGTTTTAAATCTCTAATTTGTGCTATTTCTGCGATAACAATAATGCAGTGTGTTGTATTTTGTATTGTATACGTTTGATTGGGTTGAAACCTTGCATATAGTTAGAAAGGGAAGGTTTATAAAGGGAGATTGACCTCAGGTGATGACAATATTGTCAGAAAAGGAGTCATGTGACATTTAAGTTTAATCCTTTAAAGTAATATTTCCTGAAGTATATGTCCAATTGTGTTCAAACCTTGTATATATCTTGAAAGGGAATGATTTAGACGATGATTGACCTCATGTGATGATGATGCCATCAGGTGACAAGTCACGTGACATTAAAGGTGCACTCTTCAAATCACTATATCTCTTGAAGTGCATGTCTGATTGGTTGAAACCTTGCTGATACTTTGGAAAGGAGGTGCTTCAGGCAAATATTGACCTAGTGTGATGACGACGTCATCTTGTGATAAGTCACGTGACATTAAAGGTGCACTCTTCAACGCACTTTATCTCATGAAGTACTTATCCGACTGGGTTCAAACCTTCCAGATACCTTTGAAGGGGAGTGCTTTAGACAAAAATTGACTTGATGTGAGTGATGATGACGTCATCTTTTGACAAGTCATGAGACATTAAAGGTGCACTATTTAAAATTCCATATCTCGTGAAGTGCATGTCCAATTGGGTTCAAACCTCATTGATATCTTGGAAAGGAAGTGTTTTAGGCAAATATTTACCTCATGTAATGATGACATCATCCAGAGACAAGTCACGTGACATTAAAGGTGCACTATTTAAAACTCTATATCTCCTGAAGGATATCTCCAATTGGGTTCAAGCCTTGCTGATCTCTTGGAAAGGAAGTGATTTAGACGATTATTGATCTCATTTGATGTTGACGTCATCAGGTGACAAGTCCTGTGACCTTAAAAACTGAGCCCTCTTTCTCCTGAAGTACATATCTCATCTAGTTGAAACTTTAGAGATAACAAGAAAAGGAAGTGTTGTAATTGTAATCGAATATTTACCTGATGAGATGATGATGTCATCAGGTGACAAGTCACGTGACATTAAGGTGCACTATTTAAAGCACCGTGTCTCCCGAAGTACAAATCCCATCCATTTAAAACTTTGAAGATATCAAAGAAAGGAAGTATTCTAGATGAAAATATACCTGATGTGATGATGACATCAAATGAGGAGGGTTGAAACCTATAGTTTCTTATCTGGGGCTCCAGCACATTTGGTTATAACACGAGCAAATATACCAGGAGGGTGCAAAGAAGCCAACTGGTTCTTGGTGAGGAAACCCAGGGCTGGAAAGAGGCATACACCATAGGGTTTCTATCTGATGTGGCCATTGACAATGGATGGTGATTTCAGTTTGCTGCCCAGGTGTGAAGTGGTAACTGCTGATAAGAAGGCCAGCTTCACTGTTGTGTGTAGTAACAAGGCCTCCCTGAGGGGCTCAAATAGAGAGGCGGCGAGGAGCTGGAGGATGGCTGATAAGTCCCAGGAAGGAACAAGTCGTTTGGTAGGGAGACACTCTATAAACATTCCATGGAGAAGATGTTTAAGTGTGTAATTATCTGACAGAGTCGAGCCATCAGGAAAGCTGTCATGTATAGCTGTAATGACGGACCAGTAGATACGATGGTTGCTACTTGTAGGCCTGATTTGAACACGTACATGAAAAAATCAGCAACTGTGGTCACAGGGGCTTCGGTTTGGGCAAGACCCTGCTCTGCACTCTATGAAGCAAAATGTCATATTCTACTGCTGCAGACGCTGCATGTTGATTGGCATCGGCTTCTTTCAGCCAGCTCAGCAGCTTCTTCAGAAAGTCCCGCTGAGCTGGTCAGGTGTAGAGTATGCTGGACTTCGGCGGATGGATGAGGTCTGGTTTGGAGGGCAGGACGAGTGGTGTCTGAACGACTAGCCAAAATGGGGCGATGAGAAGTACCCGGCAAAGCTCCTGCTCTAACTTTGAGAGAACTGCTGGGATCAGGGATGTTGGCGGAGAGGCGTAGCCCAGCATCCCTTCCCGATTGACCTGGAGAGCATTTGTGGCTGGTCATTATGGCAGTGAAATTAACTGGCAAACATTTCTTTGCCATGTTGAATAGTGCCCTCTATTGTCTATTGAATTGCACCCTCTTCTGTTTTCCTGATATTTTGCGGTTGCATTCGCATTTGAGGTTTCTAGAAATGTACATGTATCTGTTAATTATTTTTGTTTTTTTATTAAATCTTGAGTTACAAAATTGGTATTTAGTTTATCTTAAAAGTTGTGAAGCTACTGCTCAGGATCTGTGATGCATACTGTGGCGAATCTCGGTTTATAATTCGCAACTACATAATGTTCCGTAGGTTTTGTGCACAAAATACTGGGAGCCAAGGACGATTTTCAGTACAGCCGAATGTTCGATATAGCGGTGTTCGGCAAAGCGACTCTTCAAAGTACCTCAAATGTGCCAGTACACTGTGTAGACTCCTACAATTGAGCACTGAGTAGATGGGTAATTCTTACTTCACAAGCTTGGCTTAATGTAGACTTTAGAAATTGGATGCTAAACCTAAGGAACAAATGGTGATTTTTTTTTGTAGGATTTCAAATTTTCTTTAATTTTGGATTTTTGTCTGCCCGAAGAGTATATTTTAACACTGTATACTCATTTTAAGCCACCAAAGGCTTGTGAAAAAACACGGGCATACATAGATGTCTTAACCACTAGACCACCGAGCTTACCGGTGTCAGCTGGCTGGTTCAAGTGGTTAAGACATCCATCTCCCCGGCGCAAATCCATCTTTCAAATTTTCTTGTTTCCCATACCACTACTGTTCATACCTCCTTTGGTTAAAGCCTCAATAAATCCTCTAACCATTGCACTTCTCCTTGCAGTACCAAATTCATCTAGTGTGTACCTGTAATCAAATGAATGAAACAATAACCCACTTCAGTTTGATCTGTACACCCAAATTTGCAAAATTATGTTTAAGTGTTTAAATACAAATTGTGTCAATAAAATACATCTCTCTGAGTGTTGGATGTATTCGTTATTGACTGCTGTTACGTGAAGTATGATGTTTTAACATCCGAGGACTCACAGTATCCGAGGTGAAGTCCTCAAGAAGTCCCTAAGGGTGTTCAAACCTCATATTCCACACCTTTGCAACACTTCCTTTGGCTGAAGGAGCAGTTTTAGGAACAGCAGCAATAATGAATGGATTGGGACCCAGACTATAGCAATGGACCCACATGGGACGAGTTCATGTCTCATCTTCAGTGATAAAAAAACGTCATTACAAAGTGATAAGCACTGAAAACTATTGAAATGTTAGGACTTCTGAGAAATACATTTACTTCATGAATTCGACTATTTTTGGTTTTATATGTACATTTACAAAGCACACATATTTATTTTTCATTTTTAGTGTCTCAATACTTTTATCTGTGAAGGGCCAGCAGAGCACACTTTTCCATTTACTGTGGTGCTCACATGTGGAGTCCGTACAGTCTGTATCAGAATTTGGGTGGCGACAGTATGAAATATTGGTAGTGTGACTTGACTGGCATGTGTGTTGATTAACCACACATCCGTGTTGTACACCCCAAACAAAAAAGGTCCACACAATGCAGGTCGTGCAAACCTTTTGTGGACTACAAAGCCAACACCACACCAAGGTGTCTCCCTTTCTGGAAAACAGTTCTAGAGGCATTTTTGAGTTGGGATTAATTTCACAGAGTTTTCTTCACATGAAAAAGTCCTCAATCCACAGGTAACATCATTGTAAGCGTACACATGTGAAATGCTGAAATGTGATCAATTAATTAAATGTAAATGCCTTTGATTATCAGAAAATATTTTGACAAACATTGCTTGGTGTAAAGCATAAAATAATTCACAATAAAGCATAAAACAATTCAAAATAAAGCATAAAACAATTCATAATACCAAGGTGGTATGAATTGTTTTATGCTTTATTCAAAATAAAGCATAAAACAATTCATAATACCAAGGTGGTATGAATTGTTTTATGCTTTAGTCACACAAAGCAATATCCTTCTTCTTTTGATTTCCCAATTTTTCAGAGCTATTCAAACACTTCATTGCAATTTATTGAACCATTAAATTTAGACGTTTTTATGCAAAATATGTCATAGTTCATGTATGTATGTAGTTTGTAAACAGGTACCTTTCCTCTTTCTTTTTTGCCCCATTGTGAAAATACAGGAAACAAACACAGCAAGACTGATTAACAAGTGGGGGGATACTTCCTCTCTGAGTCATTCACAACAGCTTGATGTCCATGTATGTAATGATGTTTCTTCAGGTGCTATACATAAGTATGCATGACTAGACGGTGGATTGTACTTTGTGCTGAACAACCACCTTAAAATTAAGTGTACATTGTACATTCCTGGGTAACTTCACCTAAAAAGAATGTTAAAATCACTGTCATTTTAAAAACTTGTAAAACCATGAGAGCCTACATGTACATCAGTATCCATGAACTGAGACTGTAAATTATTTGGAGGAAAGCACTTCATGGCAGGACACTGAAATAAAACCTCTTTCCCCCCAAGCACATCTACATGTGAGTGCATCTACATGTACGTGTAAACAGAGCAACCAAAACATAAAATCTTCAAGTTAAGTCAAAAGTTTGCAAGAGCACCATACACATACAAATGCCTCTTTTGTGAACGTGTGTGGAAGGCAGTCAATGTTTCTGACATTATGCTCTGTCTATCATCAGAAGATCTTCGTAAGGAAAGCATACTCTTTTAGTCTTTAACAGGAAAAAGGAAAATAACTCTCACCTAAAGAGCACAGCTCTGTCTTGTAAAGCTGCCACTGCTTGACAGTGTAGGGCAGATATCTCAACTGTGTCCCCAGTTAGAGCTCGGCACTCTCCTGTCATGGTAATCAAGGAAGGCTCTGTTTGTCACATCAAGCTTAACTACCGAGTAGAATTCTAGAAAAGTTTTCTTCTTGATTTTCAATCATTGCAACATCACTGTGATAAGGTTTCTCATTCAAAGTGATCAGAACATCCCAATCTGTTCTATATCACCATTAAATAACGTCAATAAGAGCTGTTTAACTGTGTCACCTGTGATTGTACGTTCATTCAACTGACTTTTCATTTGAATGAACTTACAATCACAGGTAACACAGATTTCATGCATTCAAATTTGTTAGTATTACACAGCTATAATTACCTGTTTTGAGTACCGGCTGAAACAGTTTTGGCTTTAGCTTTAAACTTCGTGGCATCAATTATGAAAATCTATGATATATCCCACAACAGAATCACAGCACGAATGCAACCAACTCCAAAATATACATCTGGAATGCCCACTACCTCCGGAATAAGTCACTCTCAATGCGTAACTAAATTGTTGAACATGATATAGACATCACTGCAAACACTGAAAGTTGGCTGTATGAAGATGATCCCATTGTCACAGGCGAGTGTACCCTTGGATGTGATTTGTCATAGGTGAGTGTACCCCTGAATGTGGTTTGTCATATAGGCGAGTGTACCCCTGGATGTGGTTTGTC